ATTTTTTTATTGGCATATGTGCATCCTGTCCGGATTACCTTAAGTTCAATGCCAGCCACCATCTGTTTTTGCTTGTAATGCTTGTGACTTAGAGCAATATCGAGGCAATTCACACAGGATCCATGTATGCCAATAATGGACTGATCAATTGCAGTCTTAATCAACAATGGGAAGATTCAAACAAATAATACAAAAATAAATTACCAGCTCCACCTAGTTTGGTCTGAGCTTTCAGACCAACAATATGCCTTAAAGCAGAGTACACAAACCGACATATGCTTGGTGAATAAATCACATCTCTTGAGACTATGTTGACTTTTGTTTGTGACAATTGGATCGCATTAAAACACCGTTGAGATCCCAGTATTTCCACGATTAATTTGTTATAATATATTTCGGTATTGTTTAAATCCCTTAGCATTATTTTCTTTGTAAAGATCCTTAATTGTTCTTACTATGTTCTTAGTCCTGAAATAATTATCAGAATGTTGTTATTAGCACAAATTTTCCCTATACAGTAAGTAGATAGATCAACCTATTCAACAGTTGTACCAGTAAAACCCATTGAAGAGCTACATTTATCAGATGCAATGTTTTGTATGGAAAATTGTAGTGATGCTGTTAGTTATTCAGCTTACCTACTCTTCATTAAATACATCACAATATGGTTTCTATTGTTTGTAAAATGTCAGTCTCGTAAAGTTAGCTATGAAACCTGCATCTTTGATCTAATCCAAAGGAGGTGGGTTTTGCGCTACTTCGAAACTGCTTAAGATTGAAACAATATAAAAAAGTGTACTTAATAACCCCATTAAGACATGCTCAGACGTAACATTTTTCGGTTATATGACCGAAACTACCCTCCAATCTCCTATTACACATCATTCATTATGTTGTGCATAGATTAGTCATAGAAATGAAGTTGTCAGTGCTTTTAGCGTTCGAAAATATTAAGTATAGGTAATATACATCCCTTCAAAAGTGTGAAGTACGCAAACAATCATGTTAAAAGTGATTATACTAGGAAACTATAATTACTATTTTGATTGTAGTCAATTTTATACATTTCCTTCTTCTGTCTTGTTATAGATCTCTCTAGTTTTTGAAGCCTGTCCACATCTCCTCAGTCTTGTTCCTCCTCCATTACCAGAAGAATCCAAGTCAATTATATCACCATCTGTCAATGGATTAGATACTGATCGTCTCTTTTTACAGGAATCAAGTGGAACAATCCCTAACCTAAGTGCAGCTCAAATCCCTACTGAAAATATCTCTTTGATTGACGACTGTCCATCTTTCTGTGGTGTCCGTTTGCGTTCGCGTTACTTTGATCGTCTTCCAGGATGGAAAAGGCGTCTAACTGCCTTACGTGCATTTACTGACTCTTTTTATCTTGATAGTGATCAGAATCGCATTATTTCGGGTGCTCCCAACAATCATGTCACTCGATCTACATCAACATTACAAAACAATTTAGATTGGATCAATAGGCTTGAACCCCAATCCTTTTTTCAGTCAAATAGTTGCAAAGTTCCTAATTCAAAGAATAATAACCTTGTGAACAGAGCCAAACGGAAGCATCAAAACTACTCACGAAACTCCATGAAACATGGTAACGAAAATATCTCGAATGGTTTCAAAAACATTAACAATGGGCGTACTGGATCCAAAAGATCTGTCCGCTCTAACTTTGTCAATCAAGCAGGCAAAAAGCGTATCATTAGTTCGGATACAATTATGGTAGACCATCAGACATCATCCATTCGTGAATCACATAGCCATCCCGCGTGTACTGCTGCCTTTGATACCCCGAAAAATGTACACACCCCTCCTGTCCCTAACTTGCAACATTCATGGCACCTGAATAACTTATCAGCCGCCCCATCAAGTTACTGCTTAACCGTACCCAGCATTCCAAATTCTTCACACAGTAACAGTCCAGTTACCACACAACTACCTCCAAATCATATTCCACTAATGGAAAGAGATATTGACTCGTGGCTCTGCAATATTCCAAGAGTAGTTTTACCAAGCAATCCTATGTTTTGGACACCTGTTGACTTAGCTTCATATCTTGGCAGTACAGATTGTCGAGAAATGTGGCCATGGCTTGCAGCGGAAGCCGTAGATGGGCAAGCATTTATGTTATTAACTTTACCAGTTCTGCATAGACTAGTTGGTTTACGCTGGAATGATGCTGTACGTCTTGCACGGCATGTGATGTCTGTTAAACAAGCCTTTCTAGAACAGTTTAGTATGAATCCACATTTAAATGAAACATATTCAACGGATAATGTAACATCGTGATTTAAGACTATCCACTAAAAGGTCGACTCTTCACTACACAGATATCCATGTTTTTAGCCTCTACCATACAGTTAGTCTTTCTAAAAGTTTTTTTTGTAAATTTGTCAATTACTGTAATTTTTTAAAAGAAGTAAATTTTCAATGTGATCTTGCATACTTAATGTATAATTTCTGTATTTTCAACTTTTTGGTGTTTCCATCATACTTGATTTTTACTTTACCATCTTCGATTATTTTTTGTATAGTTCAGTGTAATATAAAAAACACTCCATGTAAAATAAAACAGGTTTATTTAATATGCATAATACGACGATCGAGTTGGTTTTTTAAATGTACATAAAGAATATAGTGAAGTGTGGTAATATTCAAGTAAAACTATTTTGATCACCTTAATTGTATAGACACTTTTCAAGCATCAAAATTCTGACAAGCGCTAATACCGATCGAATAGTTTAAGAAACAATCGCATAAAGTATTTCCGCTTGTATAGAGTCAAGCGTAATGTTCGTAGTATATTTATTTGTAAACCGAAGTTTTAATGTTTTTGACCGGTGATAGTCAGTAGGAAACAATCTTGATTGTCTTCAAACGGTTCCAAATACAATGAGTCAGTACCTTCTGTGTACATGGTTCTGCCGCTTTACGCTTCATACCGAAAACTCAAGAGCTCTTTCATCACGTGAAAATCGACTCGTGTTGTTGAACTGAATGAAAAGTCTGTAGAACTTAATTATTTTTAATTGGTAAAAGTTTATCTGTATCAAAATTAATTTGCAATACATGGATAGTATGAAACTGTATGGGCAATGCATCCTGAGCCTCATTTCAGTTAACCACTTCAAGCTGTATCACTGATTTCGGTTACTATACCCTACGGTATGATTCAAAAATCGGACTGGAGACAATTATGTAGTCTTTTCTGAAGACAAGTGAAACTTTATATTAATTTCTCTACTAATAAAAAATAACCATAATGTGCTGAATCGCTCATACCAATCCATCGGAAATTATGGTGAGGATCTGTCACTAAGACTAGTTTTACTTATCATAATTGCATTTATATTTTTACTAAGGCTGCAGTCCACTAACTTAATAATTTTCGCCATCATTTTGGCGAGTAGATCTCAAATCCCTGAATGCAAATTTCGATTCTTACTGGTGTGAATGGATAAGTCAGTAATATTGATCAACAAGTCCGTATTTGGACAAATTACATCGGTATCGACCTTCCATCGTAAACTCCATGGCTAATCACTGATCATTTCAAGAAATACCAGTGAAAATATTAGCATGTTACAATTCTCATATTCTCCAAAAACTCATAGTATCGAAGTACATGTATTCGTATGCTTATCTAAGTAGTAAATATTTTAGTCAGCTACAACGTAGGACCAGACACATGCATCAGTTCAATTTGCCACACCTCATTAGCACAACAGGATGAACACCAAATTTATAGAAGTCAACTCAATGGTAGAAATATATAAAAGATTGCACATAAGGATATAATACAGGAAGAAAGAATTAGTTCGTAGGAATAAAGTAATTTTAATCTCACGGTTTAAGGAGTATTCATCAACGTCATTGTCGCCCAGTCTCCAACCATTGGTTACGAAAGTCACGCGGACCCCAACCAAGTAGTCTGCATCTACCAACATGGCTCACATTAGAAGTTAGTGACTTCAAGCACTGATGTCACGTTCTGGTTTGGCCGTCCCTAACTTTCTTCCAACACTAGTCAGCATTATGCGTCGTGGTAATCGGTGTTCAGGCATAAGTAACACGTGGCCCAACCATCTCAGTCGATGAAGATTCACAACCTCATCAACTGATTTACCATCATTCCCTAATACCCTATCTGGCTTCACTATTACTTATCCGGTGATCCCAGAAGATGCGAGCTATATTTCTAAGGCATCTGTGATCAAGTACTAGTAACTGACGAGTATCTTATACTCTTAATGGACATATTTCATAACCGTAAAGTAGAATAGAGCGAACTGCCGCGCAATATACTCATCGTTTTATTGATAGACGGATATCTCGCCTAAGCCATATGTGACGAAAGCCAAACGAGCTTTATGAATCCGTGCTGAGATTTCGTCAGACACCAAGACGTTGATGAAAATGCAGAGTCTTTGGGTAGCACTGAGCAACTATGCCAGGATGTTTGGGATGCGTTTCTCGCCCTCTAAATGCAAGTTGTTGCTTCAGGATTGGCCTGCTTTAACACCTAAAATGAGGATAAGTAATGAAGCAGTTGAACGCGTTAACAACTTCACTTATCTTGCAAGTAAATATTTCACATTATAAAAGAGTACATCGAACGCCTCTTTTAAAAGCTCAGGAATCCATTCACTCATAAATATGCTGGGAGTGGGTAGGTTACACTTTACGTAAATGGTTAAAATGCATCATAAGGCAAGCCCTAACTTGGAGTCCTGAAGGCAAAAGGAAAAGAGGGAGACCACAGAACACATTGCGCTGAGAATAAGAGGCAGACATCAAAAGAATGAATAGCACTTGGGAACAACTAGGAAGGAAAATGTTGGTTGGAGATTTTTGGTCGGCAGCCTATGCTTACGAGCAGGCATAAGTAAATTGAGTAATATGCTTTCTGTGTTACATCCGACTTGGAGTACTATTCCCTACGATTTAGAATGATTATCAAAATATTGTTGGAAACAGAATCTTATGGAAGCAAATTGTGTATGAGTACAAAATGTTGCTAACACGCAAACTACTTCTGTAACTTACTGAATCCCGATAGGTAACTACCCAACAAAGAATTCCCGATATCTCAACTTCTGCGATTAATAAGTAATCAGGAAAAAAAAAGGCAAGTTGAAGTTTCTATGATTAATAAGACTCAAATTTTCTTATCACTTCCGAAATATCCCATGTCTTTTCAATTCTTTACTTTTAGACTTCCCCAGTTTATCCGCCAACTTTTTCTGTAATTCATTTCTTCGTTTCTCTTCTGTTTCCTAGAAGACAATTAAAAACAAATTATTTTTTAAGTTTAGAACTTTGTTTTGGAAATAACATCGTAAAGATATGCTTTCACACAGAATTTAAATCGGCTTTATATCCACAATTATGTTAAATTTTATTTGAAACATTACAGGTTGTAAGCAAATGTGAGAACTTGAAGAAATAAAATGAATTCCTTTATTCTGTTCCTGCTCTCTTCAAGTTAGTAATGGGAATCATGTGTATGAAATGATTACTAGTTAATTTGTGACAACTTATTAACTCAATTATATAATCTTGAGTGAATTACTGGAACAGAAACAATAATTGTGACTTCCTAATATATATTCACTTGGTTGGTTAGAAGTTCTATTTGCTGAAATCTATTTAGAACCAGTTACTGCAGCCATCTCATCTATTCCAAGAATTTGATCATTCATTTGAGCCATTCATAAAAATCCTATAATTTCATGATGTTAGTCCGTTAATATTATAACTCATTTCTAGCTTTGCAAATCAAAATATCAACGCAGTAGTGGATGAGACAAAAAATACTCCCCAAATGGACTTGAACTACGCTTCTAATGGAATTCAAAGATGATTTAATCGACGTGGAGTGAAGAACATTTTCACATTCAAAATATTATCTGGTGAAAGCTATGGCAACAGAAAAAAAACAATCGACGTACTATTTAACAAAAATTACCTGAACATCTTTGGTGTTTGAATTACTTGATATTATCTCACGTGTAGGCTGTTTCTGTTGTATTGGAGAAACACACATATTTTGAACTAAATTTATTAACCAATAGCATTGAAGTATACTTTTAGAAGTGAATAAATGTTTAGATGCCTCACAAAAAAGATGTTGAGTAGAGGACGAAGAAAGTAAGCCTGTTGAAAAGTTATATGAATAACTAAAATCCTGACAAAACAAAACAAAATATGCAAAACCACGAATTTAAAACAAGCGTGAAACGTTAGAATTAACTAGACTTTAAAAAAGGAATTACTATACTAAGATTTTCAAATGATAAGATGTCCATTCGATGAAATTTATGACAGACAAAGTAACTTGTTTTAAAATGACTTAACAAAAGATATGTGAGACAAATCAAAATGATACTTCAAACGAAAGAAAAATAGAAACTGTTCTTGATTTTAAGACTTATGATAAGTAGTAAGAGTTTGAATTATCCTGTTGTTGACATTTAGGAGTGATCGTTTAAAGATCCCCATCACATTAAAAGACTAATATTTGGATGAAGAATATTCTATTCGATAAATTCTCCTCAGGTTCTATGATTATATGTCCAAACTAATAATTATTAATTTGGATATATCATTGTAGAACCTGAAGAGAATTTATAGAAAAAAATATTTTTCGTGCAAAAATTTAGGATTGAATTTTGATCATCTTTTGGTGGCACAACTACATCTTGAATGGATTGCCTCAATATAACTATTTTGTAACAAGGTTCTAGAATAGGTAGATTGTACCCAAAAGTAAAATCTAAGATGCATGTTTAGCGCTATTTAGGACTCATCAACTAAATGCATTTGCATTCCAGTGTTTATATTTACAATGAGACTTGAACCTGGGACGTTTCGCTTTAAACTCCGAAGAAATTGATGGGGATATGGACTTTAGTTTGATGGGTAACGGGCTAGATTCTGTTGTAAGATACAACCTATTTATCCTAAAAACTGATTGTTTTTTAGGAACGTAGTACAATTATCACCTGCTTCTAGCTTGATATATATCTTATAGGGTATGAGACATAATTTACTTGATTTAAAAGGAATGTTATGCAGCGAAATGCTGTTGTGAACAATCACAACTCAGGAAATACTTTCATTAGTTGTAAGCATGCTTTTTCCATATTTTTTGTTTGCAAAATGAGATTACATTGATCACCATGACTGTAACATCTCAAATTACAACGATAACACTACTAATATCTATATGTAATTACATGGTTATAAGTTGAGTAGTCTTCCTTGTGGAATACTTAGAAAAGCTACTTTTACTGTTGGAAGTATGCATTTCTTAAAACAACAAGTCTAATGTAAACTTCCAGGCTATGAAGAATGAAATTTTTGTCAAAGGTCATTTATTCCGGACCAATTCTCTATAAAATCAAAAATTAATTTTGCTAGAGCTTACATGTGAAACGTTGTATGTGGTTAATTAATACCTTTAGAAATATACCTATAATTATTTGTCTGGAGTGATTAAAAAGTGCTGTCAATCTCAAGATAGTAAAGATCGTCTAAAGATTTGAACCATCAGGTAAGGTGGATGGAATGAGTTCAAATCGAATCATAAATAATCTATTTCAGAAATATTCATAGGACTTTTATAAAATCGACATGAACAGATATCTAGGTACTAAGTTCACGTTACACATTAAATGTTACAAGCAAAAATAAGAGACTAGAACCAAATTAATGATGAAAACGACTGAGCGGTGACATCCCATCATATTTCTAAAGCCGGTTCTCAATAATAATAACTAACCAGATCCATGTCTTCTTTTTTCATATCCTCACCAACTAGTTTAATTTGACATTTAAATTATCATTGTTACTTGGAAGCATTAGTTTTTCATGAAGCCGATTTGCATGGTGATTTAGAGCCAATAACTTATTATGGAGTAAATCTTGCTTTTTACAAAGTGATTCTAGTGCAAATGAAAGTGGCAAAACAACATGATAATGCAACTAAAAATAAATTCTTTTATAATGTAACTAGGTACCACAGAAGAGACAGGAACAACAGCATCACAAGTCCAATTTATTACAGATTCTCCAAAGGTGTACTGAAAAGAAACACTACATATGTCTGTGCAAACCTGGATATCGGTCACCACTTTTCCAAAATCAAAACAATCACGAATAGTGTGGCGGAGGGTATCACGCTGAAATTCAAACTGTGGATTAAGAGTCTTTATTTTGAACATGTACGGGAAAAAAGTGAACCTTTAATCTTAGGAACAACTCTTCTTCAGAAACAGTTTCAACCCAAAATTTATCTTTCAGGAAGAAGAAAGAAATCCCATTAGAAAAATGTCTCTTTTTGCATTCATCACACGGACAGTTCACTTCTGAATCAATCGCAGTACAAATCATTCCCTCAACGATCCTGCAGTTCATTATTAGTAATCGTCTTGAAGGAGTTTTTTAATAGTTGACAGTTAGTGATTAGAGTGAAGAAACTGGAACACAAACATCTATCCAAGATATGTACCTGAAAAACATATAGATGAATACTTTACAACTGAAAATTGAATATAATAAATTAACGTAATGTTGTCTTAAGAATGAATCGGAACTGAATAAAAAATATCAATGTATGACAGTAATCTGTTTATTTAACAACTGGTGTGGAAACATCTACATCTCTAGAGATTACATTACACAAAGTAATCTGGAATCATGGAAATAAAAAGCCTAAAATAGGGAATATTAATAATAACTTATCAGAGGAAAACAATTTCTGGTCCGGTTACCCTGAGTGAGCAAGAGAGTCCAGGAAACTTCTTACAATTTTTTGGCTTATCACTACGGTTTTTCCAAAGGTTATAACAAATTTTAAGCACTGGGACCGAAAGACGTTGCTACATTAAAGTAATTTGAATTTATGAATGGCCAGTTCAATTCAAAATGCTTTGATGCGACGTCAGTCATTCGATGATAGTCAACTTAGGACAAGAGATAGATGTACATCAAACAGGTTTCCACACCACACTAGAATAATAGAGAAATTTCAAAACGATGGTGCAAATTTTGGGAACACTCAGAACTGTGGTCGGTAATATTATTGACTTGCAATGTGTCTAAAAACACAGAAATAGTGCCTCGGGATAGAATTTATCCTGAAACGGACTATTTAAATGACAGTAAATGAGCATAAGACGTACAGGACAAACTAAAACTGACGTCACATACTTTTTCGATGAAATAATGAGCAACGTTTTTAGAAGCAATATAAACTTAGGAATAAACCTAGTTTTCAACAGGCTTTGTGTCCAGTGCTGGCTGACTGAACAACTCCCAAAGTGCTTTAGCAAGTGTTGTTAGTGTTAATGAAAACTGCCGATCGGTAATTTGCTAACCATGTTGGTTTTTTGAGTGATTCAGTCAACTAATCATTGGTAAATTGGGATCGAATTTTACTGACTTAAGCTGTCATGTTACAGTAGCAAAGGAAGAGGAACCAGCAAAACATGAAGTAGAGAAAGCAAAGTATCAGTATTCATCACCATGGGAAGCCAAACATCAAAAGTAGTTTAAAGAGAATGAGTTTGAAGAATTAAGATTATGGGAAGACATTAAATGAGGGAAGATGAACACAACTACACCGTTATAATTAGGAGTGAAGTAGATAGCGAACCGATCTACACGCAGTCGACGTCTTAAAAATAATCGTTTGTGTGAAAGGAAATCGAAAGAATCAGCTTAGCGGAAAGTATCAATGACACATAAAGGATCCCTATAGTATCAATTACCCTGAAATCAATCTAAATGAAGATTTTGAACACACTCCCTTTTTTGAAGACTAGTTACTGTCCAATGAATACATACTTCATGAATTCATGAGGGAGCTAAGGTGAAATAAAAATAGCAGATATCTTCCTTGTTAATTAGCAAGTTCTGAGAATATTACAATGTGGACAAACTAGGTGATTAAAACGCAAAGTAAGAAAAGTGAAGCACACTTAATGTAGAACAGAAGTATGTTGAGTTGCTTTGATGTAGTCACTTTCCAATCAACGAAACCATGAGGCCTAACAGTATGCTTGCAGCCAATATGACAGAATTCTGTACCTAAACGAGACATTTAGGAAATGGCTAGGTGAAACTTGACAGTTGACCACATGGTTTTCAGTTAGTGCATCGCATATATATACTTATTGATACTTCTAACCACATATATCCAAAGAAACCGAAGTTGTTTGAGATAGCATTAACAAGCCGATTCCCCTGTAGTACAAGAGCTGAGGTAGAGAATTGAAGAAACTTCATACGTCGAAAACAGCGAACTTATGGTCATAAAACTTGAATACAAATAATTGGTGACAATTAGTCGAGGTAAAATGGTTTTCACATTATTTTTATATAACAGAAGTGACGATAATAACACCCAAGAAACCGATGAAGGGAATGAAAGCGTAAATAAAGGTAAAATATCGCCTTTTCGACTTCACGCCGGTTTTTAGGGGAAATGTCGACTTTCACCCTAACGTCATGTATTTGGGGGATATTTGGATGCGCTAGTTTCAAAGAGGGCAGTGATTCTTGTACTTGTTGTGATTATACATGCTTTGGGTACTTATTGCACTAAAAAGCATTCTTGGTCCACCTTAACTAAGAGTACTTTGGTTAAAGTTTGAAATTTTTTGCTAAATGTTGTCCTGAGTACCTGTTTTTAGTCATGGACTAACACTTGTGCTCAGATTGTTATCATTTTTTTTGTTTTTAAACCTCTTAAATCGAATTACAATGGTTGGTAAGACTCACAGATGTGGGCAACCAAATTGTTTGCTCTCCGTTGAGGAGGGGATGCAGTGTGACGATTGTAAAAAGTGGTACCACAAAATGTGTACACGACTAAGTCCGAAGGCTTACAAAAGATGCTAGAAGCCTAACTCGCATTGGCTTTGTATGTTCTGCTGTACGAATAAAAAGGTACTAATACAGGAGGCTATGGGCCTGTTGGCTTTGGCCTGCAAGAAAAACGACGGCGGAAGCACTGATAACAGGAGCACTGACGATGAAGAATGTGGCAGTGTAGTAAGTGCTGCTACTGGACCCGTTAAACACTTGACCGCGGTTGACGGGAACGTGAAACCTCTGTTGACATTAACGAGGAATGAAGTGTCACTTGATATTGACATCGGCAGTCATACACCTCTAGTCGAAATAGAAGATCCGGATAAAACTGTCACCGTTCCACATAATCCAGGTGTGGCTGTTCTGAGTGGCGACAGATGGACTTCGGTAAGAAGGAAAAAAAGAAAAAGGCTGTAGGCAAAACGCAGCTGGTCAGTAAGACATTGGAAGGGATGTTATCAGAAGAAAAATCCTCACCGCGTGACAAGACATCTCTCTGATAGATCAGTCATTTTTCATAAGATAAGAGAATCTTCAGATACTGAACCAAAGGCAAGATTTGAACATGATCTCAATCATATTAAGACATCATTAAGTAAACTACTCCCAGATACAGTTTCAGGAGTTAGTGTTTGTAAGCTTTTTAGAATAGGAAAAAAGGTGGATTCCGAAAGTCCTCAGAAAAACCGCCTCCTAAAGGTTACATTCAACACGATGGAAGAAAGGAACCTGATTCTAAGTAATTCACGTAAACTGATTGGATCCGGAATATATGTCCGTGAGGATCTCAGCCTAGCTGATCGTATTAAGAGAAGAGATGCAGAAGCGGAAATAAACGAGCGTCGCCGAAACGGTGAAAGAAACCTCGTTCTTAAGGGTTTTCAGATTGTAAAAGTTCGGAGCAAAACGATCCCCAAGCCACTCTGGGTGGCAAGGGAAAGCTCTCCACAGACTTAAAAGTGTGCTACACAAATGCTCGCAGCCTACTAAATAAAATGGCGGAGCTAAAGTCAGTGGTGGATAAGGAAAAACCGGACGTTATCGCTGTCTCGGAAACTTGGTTAACGTCAGAAGTATTAGATAGTGAAATCCAGTTGACTGGTTTCATAACCAGTAGGGCTGATAGATTAAACCGAAGGGGAGGCGGGGTTATTGTGTACACGAAAAGTACCCTAACCATAAGATTAGCTGAGACAGTAGCACATGTTTCAGGGACATGTGAACTAGTGAGATGTAAGTTGAAATGCCGAAGGCAAGATATTGAAGTAGTTGTAGTTTATCGCAGTCCAGAAAGTGTAGCAGATGATTTTCTCCTAAGTAAACTTAAGTCCTGGTGTAACAACGGTAAAAGCCTTGTAGTAGGCGACTTTAATGCACCATATATAAACTGGGTAAACTTAGAAGTAGGGTCAGCCATATCGTCTTTCGACTCCAAACTGTTAGAAACCTCGATTGGACTAGCATTATTACAACACATTAGAGATCCCACAAGATACGACTTAAGAAACTCGTCTTCTATTTTAGATTTAGTCTTCACGCACGGCGATGACGTTGGTCAAACGGCTTTTCTTCCACCACTTGGGAGAAGTGACCATGCAGTCATCTTATTCTAATTCATGGTTGAGATTGCTTGTCAAACAATTGCGCCGGCCCGTCCTAATATATGGAAGGCAGATATGCAGGCAATTAACTCCGCAGTATCGGTTGAGAACTGGGAAATTGATTCAAAGGCATCAGTACAAGAGGCATGGACTCTATTCAGGCAATTATACAATCGGGTAACTCAACCATACATACCCTGGACTGTCCCAAAGAAAAAGAAGCACGGACATCCCTGGATAGGGCGGGATATTCGACGCTTACTAAGACAAAAGAAGAAATGCTGGGATGTTCCCATCCGCCTTGGCACAGCAGGTACGCTGGAACGTTACAGATCGATAAGAAACGAGTGTATAACTAAAATTCGGGAAGCGCAAAGAAAATATGAAATGCAGCTGGCACAATCTACACTCAAGCAGCCCAAGAGGATATTCTCGTACATAAACTACAGAACAAGGATTCATCATTGGATTCCCAACCTAATTAAAGTAGGAAGTGAATTTGAACTGATAGAGGAAGATCAGGAAAAAGCTGAGGTTATGGCTGACTATTTTGGGGCAGTTTTCACTCAGGAACCTCCTCTAGAGAAAGAATCAGACCCAATTACAGAGTCAACAAACCAGCTGCTCACCGTGGACTTCGACCAAAACGATGTGCTTAAGGCTCTTAGCACCCTAAATATGGAAAAGTCAACAGGACCAGATGAACAACACCCTAAAATCTTGAGACATATGGCCCAATATATCGCAGCCCCACTGACTGTGATATTCAAAATGTCACTTGACCAAGGTGTGTTACCTATGGACTGGAAGGACGCAATCGTCACTCCCATACATAAAACAGGTCCACGACAAGTTCCATCGAATTACAGACCCGTAAGCCTTACCAGTGTTGTAATTAAAATACTGGAAAGAATAATCAAACGGACCATAACGGCATTT